TATTAAACATTGGTTTGACATTGATCCATCAGAAGGGTAATTTTCCGCTCCATCGCATGGTTTTGCTTAAATATGACTTTGATTGAGATGATCCAGGTTTGTCATAATGATGTTATGAACAAACACTTCATGATATTTCTGCAAAATATTATGTGAGGGATTTCCCACTGTTTCACAACATCCTTTTACCTGGAGGAATGAACATGGAAGAGTAGCGTGCTGGTGACTCAAAAGAGAAGCGAAGAAGAGGCAAAAATATGCTTGCCATTTATAGTGGATTGTCATCATGTTATGAACGTGACAGTGTGTCATAATGGTTATGAACGAAACCTTATTCCATGTAATTTACAGTTGTTTTGGGATGTATTTTTAATTTTAACCCAACTCGAGGATGTATTAGACCTTGCTGACATTCTGATATTTTGATTTTTATCATAAGTGTATGGGTATGTATTTTAATCAGTATTTTTCTTTTGCAGTAATTGTTATGAATGAACTACATATACTCTGAGGGCTTTGCAGAGTTGATAAACATTAAAAACATGTACACAGATACATATTATGAGGAAATTTCTTTTAATATAAAATTTTAAAGTAAATGAGAGTTCAAAATATTAATTTTTAGGTCAAAACTGAAGTTTGTCGTAATAGTTATGAACGAACCATTGAAGGTATTATAAGGGTTTTCAGTGATTAAACTTTGAATTCTTCCTACATATAACCTTATTTTAAGGAGAGTCTCATAAATTAAAGCAATTTTATGTGAATGACAGAACAATAAGTTAATTTTTTGGGCCCAAAGTAAAATTTGTCATAATAGTTATGAACGAAATAGTGTGTCATAACGGTTATGAACGAAACCTTATTCCATGTAATTTACAGTTGTTTTGGGATGTGTGTTTAATTTTAACCCAACTAAAGGACAGAATAGACTTTGCATACATTCTGATATTTTGATCATAGGTGTATGGGTGTGAATTTTAATTAGTATTATACTTTTGTAGTAATGGTTATGAACGAACGATTTATAGTCCATTTTATATATTTTGAGGGCTTTTCAGTGTTAATAAACTTTAAAAACATGTACAGAGGTTCATATTATGAGGAGAGTTTCATTTAATAAAAGTTTTAAAAAATGAATGACAGATCAAAATGTATAAATTTTTAGGTCAAAATTGAAGTTTGTCATAATTGTTATGAACGGACCATTTTAAAGGTATTCTAAGCGTTTTTGAGTGAATAAACTTTGGATTCTCCCTCCATAGAGGAATCTATCATACTTTAAGGAAAGTCTCATAAATGAAAACCATTTTATGTGAAAGACAGAACAATATAAGTAAATTTTAGGGGCCCAAAGTAAAATTTGTCATAATAGTTATGAACGAAACAGTGTGTCATAATGGTTATGAATGAACTTTAAATTTATGCATAACATGCCCTATGACCAGTTTGTCTTTAAAAATAGCTGTTAAATGGTCTTTCATTTATCACTTGACTATAATTAGACCAGAGTGTTGTTTTAGACAATTCTAGTCAATGAAACTTGACATAATTGACAGTATTTTGGTCACTTATTGTTCGTTCATAACTATTATGACACAAAAAAGTAATTTTATAAAAAATTAATAAAGATTTTTATAAACTGTCAATTCTATGTATTTTTGGAAGTTATTTGCTATGTCTCAAAATATAACCTCAGCCTAGCTGAAGAAAGGAACTTTGAGTATTCATAAATTTGTGTCATCATTGTTATAATAATGAACAAACTTTTTGCTATTTCCGTCATTCAAGTCAGAATTACACCAAAACCATTGCATATACAGCTTTGGCAGTTACTGAGCCTGAAAGAGCAATCATTAGGCTATATAATATGGGTGATTAAAGAATTATTACATAAAGTTGATTTTGGACCTCATTTGTCACACCCAGGCATCCCACCTTTTGGCAAATGCTATAGAAAAAAAGGACAATAGCATCATTCAAACTTCCCAAGTAGGTTGCCTCAAGTAATGCGAAGAAATGCTGAAAGTTATATGTATGTGCACGTAATGTAGAAGTGAAAATATGAGACATATATACTGAAGTCAGGGTAGCGCTTTTTTTCTCATATATTTATGTTTCGAAGGGGACCAAAAAACCCGCTGAAATGACAAAAATTCGTCTCTTAGTGCTATATTTTCTTTTGTATCTGCTAACAGGAAGTCTATTCTATTATTTCGAAAATGTGGATCGGTCGAGAATTTTGTGTCTTTTCATTACTGGATTGGAATAGATAGCAGCCGCTCGAGCCGTATTTTGCGGGTCTCAGTCCAGCGAAGCCAGGTCCGCGAGCCGCGTGGTAGGGAAAATGGATATAAAGGTGTTGAACCAAAAAAAGAAAAAGCATAACGGTCAGAAAAATGCCAATTTCTTCGATTTCATTAAAATTTTGATGAGTGCCTGATTCCACCACGTTGCCTTAATCTATTTTATCTTATCTTATCATATTTTATTTTATCTTTTCCCGCTTCCAGCAGTGGGGAAGACCAGGAGGGCCAGGAGCGGGATGCCCTGGGCCCCCTCACCATCAACGTCTTGTCTCCGGGCATCATGAGCCCCACTGCGCTGTCACCGCACAACAAAGTGCCTAACAGTCCATCCAAAGTCGGCCCGTCTCGCAAGAAGCGCCGAGCTCCAGGGGCGTCAAAGCCAGACGAGGCAAGAGTGCTTCACACGCATGGCCGGAGAACGCTGTACACAGCCGGCCGACCGCCCTGGTACAACAAGGAGGGCCAGCTGAAGGATGCGTTTGTTATAGGTAATTGACTTTGTTCTTTTGAGAAAGTAGAGTACAGCAGATCAGCGCTGCCCATTGTTACGAATTTGGCAGAATTATTAGTTTTTTTGTTGCTTTTTTTTTGTTTCAATCGTACCAAATTATGATTGAAGTGGAACCGATTATGATATATAAATTTTAAAAAATGCTACTTTGCTACCAAGATGGCCCAAAACAGACAGAGCTGGAGATCCTTTGTTTCTGCCCTAAACGCCAGATGGCATAATGGGTAGTAAGTAAGTAATTTGGCTACTTCAACCCATCCCCACCCTCCCGCAATATAAGAAAAACAATCAAGACCCCCGACAGTCTATGTCTACTCACCCCTTCAGGTGCTGACTAACACCCTCTGTTCACAGAGCCTGTAGTACCATAGTTACTTTGTGCAACTGTGCCCTTAGAAAAAATTATTTGCGCCGAAGTTAGGAGTAAGGCAAACATTAGTTTGACAATGTGTTAAGAAATTTCTGCGCTCAGTTAGAGAATTTAAAAAAAATGTGGACCATTGTTTGAAACAATCAGCTGCAACGCGCTTCATGGTGTATAGTGATTCGTCCTGTCAGTTTCTTTTGTTTTTTGCAATACTTAAGGCTACAGCCAGTAACTACTATGTAATTTATTATAAGAGGTAGTGTTTTGTTAATTTTTTTCTTTCTTTTTCTTTGTCCCCAAGGGTTATGCGGAGGAAGTGCGTCGGGGAAAACCACAGTGGCGAGAAAAATTATTGAGGCATTAGATGTACCATGGGTCAGTTTGGTCAGCATGGATTCATTTTATAAGGTAGGTTAAAAGCTGGTGGACTTGTTTTTCTTGTTGGGTTTTGTTTTGTTTTGTTTTTTGAAAGGG